GCAATGTCAAACAACAGCTGAAAGACTGAAATTCACAGTTGTCTAATTCAGAAACAGCAGTTCACATTTATATTAAGAAACATCTATAATGTTTAGCAACCTACAGCTGAACAGCATTTCCTTTCCCCTCACGTAACTGTAAGGAAGAACAGTAGTCACATATGAACAGAAAAAGGCGGTGAAGAGTATTGTAAATAGTCCTTCAATAAAGAAAACTTGGGTCCCTTGTTCAGGGGTGTAGTTGCTAGAAACCTTGTCTATTTAAAAATTCCCTTTCAATGCAGTATCATTTGAAGCAGTCTGATAATCCCAAGCTTCTCTTACCCATGCCAGGTTTCCTTACAAGCACATGCATTCTTTGGTTTGGTTTCGTCTGCCACTGTTCTACCTAGCGCTCTAGGACTTGTTCCTTCACCCACGGAGAGAGCAGCAGTAGATCTGTGAAAGAGAGAATGAAAAGTTAACAGCCTAGACCGGTTAGCATTATGAATACAAAAAAAAGCCCAATTGGTATTCTTTCCTACAAAAGATTGCTCCAAATCATTTACAATATGCCTTAAAAGGCCTGCCCACAAAGAAAACCCAAATCAGAAAGACAGTGTTTACACATTCCCATCTCAAAAGTTCGTATACCAGACTCTCTCACCAAACATGATGCCATTCGGCAGCTAGACTGCAAATCCAACTGCCACGCATCAATGACGAAGCACACACAACGGCTAAATTTCAGTTTCCCGGGAGAGGGGAGGGGAAAAACACCATCACTGAAGAAACATGTTTCTTTTTCCAGAGACAAATAAGCCATTCTTTCCTAAAAATAAATGCTCTTCGGACATAAATAGACTTTGTCTAACTGAAGAACACTTAACGCTCTGTCTAGGACAACATAAGCTAAAACTCTTCATACTATTGCAATCACTCAAGCAACACAGTTGTACCAGATCTTCGATTTCTCTTCAAGCCAGGGACCTTAGAAGATTTACTAGTTTTTCTGGTGCCATAAATTCATCCTAAACTCCCATTTTCAAGGAGCTGTAATAATCCCAAGAACAATTTTTCCAAGGTGTGACTTCACATTTTACCCTGGAATTCACAAGGAAATTATTTTCCAAATCCTGTATTAGTTTGTAAGCAGGGTGGTTTCCCTGAAAAGTGAAAATAAGTCCCCACACCCTGACCTAGGATAGGGTTAAGTGATATTTAATAGAGTCCAAACTGTTAGTCAAACATCTGCGCTTTCCATTTAAAGGACAATGAACATGGAGCAGAAAATTGAAGGCTGACAGTAAAAACTCCGAAGTAATTACGTCTGACTCGGGGTATGACTAGAGATACTGAAGAAATGAGAGACATTTGCATGGTGAATCATTTCTAGTAAGTTTAATGACTTAAATGAAGGATAACTTAGAAGCCCATCTACTCATGATCTAAGTTCTGTAGTAATTCTAGTTAACACTTTGATACTTACATACTGCCTTACCCACACTTTCATTTCAGCTACAGGCATAACTGCACCACTGACAACAGCTTACCGAAACACAGTACTACACAAGTAATATGGAATGGTGCACATTTTCCAGCAGAAAAAACATCATATAAAAGCCTTCCCCGCCCCCCCCGCGCATATCAGATAAAAATGATCATCACCAACAGAATCAACAGAAGGCACATGCTGCTTGTGCTCTGCTACCAGGGACAGGGAGGGTAGGTGCCACAAGTCGGATCTCCCACAAAACAAGACAACACAAAAAGCATTCTCGCTCATTTAGTGTTTTAGGTTATAAACAGGAAATCTGTAAGTGACAGCAATGAAAATAATTTGTGTGGGAATCATGCACTGAAACCAACGCTCTCCTTTACTGACATGGAAAGAACATTTCGCTGCTGGGAAAAGATGGGAATTTATTCTCATAACAGGCCTTCAGAGCCATGACAATACACTGACTTCAGTAGCAGCGTTCTAGCGCTACGGATATAACCTCTGGCAGCCAGATTCATGCCAAAATTCGTTTCAAGCATGTCATCAACTGCTGACTATCGTTAGGTTTGTTTCAAGCCTGGTGGGAGCTAGCAGCAACCAAAGAAATTACAATTTCTTGAGAAGCGCAGTCTACAGTTAGTGAATTTATTCTGGTTTGTTTAACCAGAATGAAGACTTTCAGTGCCTAACCTTCAGCAATTACCTCATTCCTTCATATTTAACAGCACAGGTGTTCCCTTCGAGTCCATTTGTAGAATGCTAACTCCCTACCTCCCTGATGTTACTTACCCAGCTGTGTCAACTCTCAGCTTTTTGAATGCTGTCTGCAGGCTTTCCTCTTCTCCATACTTAGCTTCCGTTTTCATTATTGGGACGGCCAGAAGCTGACAGAGTTACCACGCACTGCTACAAGCAGAAAGGACATATGAATGTAAGAACCCTGTCAAAAACATTAGTTGCCCAGCAGCATCATAATACACGAAAATAAACTCAAAATAGCACACTGAGTGCACAAAGCTGATGTCATTCTAGTAGAACATTCTTCAGAGTTGATTCAGAACGAGCCTTACGATACCCAAGAACAGAACAGTCTCTTGTACAACTGCACAGGTGAATTAGCAATTTAAAGTAAAATCTGGTGTCAACAGCATCTTGCACATCCATTACAGTTTAGACAGACTTTTCTATTTGTCTGACAGTGTTACCAGAATAACTCCAGAGGATGTGAAAGGCGAGCAGGAACAACACCATTAGAAACTGTCAGCTTTCTAAAACTACTATTTCCAACTTTGCAACTTGAAAAAACCCCAAAACTAACAGATTTTTTTTAAAGTAAGATAAAGTTTTAAGGTGAAGAAAATTTTTTGATCTTATGTTTAGATCCCAGCTAGAGTCACAAAATCCTATGAGAACGTGGTATTTTGACTGCAAATAGCCATTAAAACTTTTTGGTATCAGCTCTTGAACAATTACAAATGAAATGAGAGTACAAACAGCACAGAGTACGCCTTGTTTAAAGAAAAAAGGAACAAGCAAGGATTACTCTTTGTTAAAAAAAAAAAGGAACTGACAAAAACCAGTTTTTTTTTTTTAAATCTCCTCCAGCCACCACAATCCAGCTACCAGGAATCTCCAATCTTTCTAAAGGCGATGCTCTTCGGTACCTTATAGTTCTGCAGTCACAGGCACATCCTACACCAGCCATGATTCTGCTACAAAATACTCAATAAAGGTTTGCTTCCTTAGCACGGGCTTTGCTTCTGCTGAGCAGAAACCACCGACAGCAGCATCGCAGTTCTACTCCAGACTACCTCAAGCTCAGCATCTGTTGGACCTGGCTGGCTAGCTTGCTTCATCTAATGCCTTTGCCTTGACTACTTCTGGGAAAACACAGCCATTGGTGTGAGCGCCATTACTGCAAGAGCCTTCGGCCACACTGTGGGGCTTGTGATGAGCTCATCTTCTTTTTTTTTTTTTTTTTTAAAATTACAACGTTGTCATACTTGACGACATTCTACAGTGAGACTGGTTTGGCAGAGAAGGGGAGAGCAGTGGATATTTTCTACCTGGACTTCAGTAAGGATTTTGACACTGTCTCCCACAAGACCCTGACAGAGAAGGTGATGAAGTGTAGCCTAATCAGTCAGTGAGATGGACCAAAAACCGGCTGAACAGCCAAGCCCAGAGGGCTGTGATCAGTGGCATGGAGTCGAGTTGGAGGTCAGTAACCAGCAGTGTGCCCGGGGGGCTGATACTGTGTCCAGTCCTGTTTAACATCTTCATTAACAGTCTGGTGGCAGAGCATACCTTCCACAAGTTTGCTGACGACCCCAAACTGGGATGAGTGGCTGATCCACCCGAGGGTCGTGCGGCCATCCAGAGGGACCTCTGCAGGCTGGGGAAAGGGGCTGACAGGAGCCTCAGGAACCTCAACGAGGTGAAGCACAAAGCCCCGCCCCTGGGGAGGAACAAGCCCATGTGCCAGTACAGCTTTGCAGAAAAGGCCCTGGGGGTCCCGGCAGACACCAAGACGGACATGAGCCAGCAACGTGCCATTCCGGCAAAGGGACTAACGGCATCCTGGGCTGCGGGTCGAGGGAGCTGCTCCTTCCCTCTATTCCACACTGGTGAGGCCACAGCTGGAGTGCTGTGTCCAGCACTGGGCTCCCCACTGCAAGAGAGACACAGACGTGCTGGAGAGAGGCCAGTGAAGGGCCATGAAGATGATGAAGGGACTAGAGCATCTCCTATGAGGAAAGGCTGAGAGAGCTAGGACTGTTCAGCCAAGAGAAAAAAAGGCTCAGGAGGGATCTCATCAATGTATATAAATACCTGAAGGGTGGGTACAAAGAGGCCAGAGCCAGGCTCTTCTCTGTGGTGCCCAGAGACGGGACCAGAGGCCACAGGCACACACCGAAATGCAGAAGGTGCTGTCTGGGTTTAAGGAAACACTTCTTTGCTGTGAGGGTGACTGTGCACCAGCACAGGCTGCCCAGGGAGGCTGTGGAGTCTCCCGCCTTGGAGATATTCAAAAGCTGCCTGGACACGGCCCTGGGCAACCGGCTTGAGGTGGCCCTCCTGGAGCAGGGTGGGTGGACCTCCAGGGATCCCTGCCAACCTCAACCGTTCTGTGATTCTGCTTCTAAGAATCCATGACAAAGGTAACTACCCAAACCCAGCAAGTGATAACAGCTCCCGTAACAAGAACACACTTACACAGAGCACCATCTCTGCCTAATAACACAGCCATAATGCCTATGTTAGTACTACTTTTACCAACTAAGCATCAGCTTCTTTGTAGCACAGAAGAGAAAAGGTCTTGGTGAAGAGAGAGGAGGAATCTGAACGTCAGCAGCTCGGTTATTTGTGCAGATACAGAGTAGTAATTTCTGCTCCCTCACAACCTTGTTCCAGTTGGAGGTGGCAGCTCTCCCTGCTGTTGTTCCGGCTGCTCGCTCTGCTATGATTTCATCTGGACGCCCTGTACTGCAGACAGCTAGTATGACATGCGCAGAGGATAATGTATCATAACAGCTTCAAGGCATACGTCGTCCAGTGAGTCAGACAGCAAATAAACACGAGAGGAGGAAACTAGCACAGAGAATGACAACATGACGCTCATCTGAGCACGTGATTACTTTAGACACTTAAATACTACACGGGCCCTACTTAAGAAAGATTTTTCCTTGACCTGGAAAGGAAATTCTTTAAAATGAAAAATGCAGCCTACAAGCTTTTTTTTTTTTTTTTAAAAACCAAACCCCTGTACTATAAAACCTTCCCACGCAGGGGAGAG